TTTATCTTCTGTTAGCTCTTTGCAGTCTAACTTACTGGTACTTCTTTGAGCTTATTTTAACCCTACACAGATTAAAATGTTCAGCTTGATCAGGATTAGTGTCCTATGACTTTTGATATCTGTACCTTTAATACATTTCAAAATACTTAACTTTAATTAAAATAAATTTCCAATAGATGTGCATTGAGAGCTCTTCAGTTCCTTCAAAAAAATGTTTTTTTTTTTGTTCTTTTTAGTATTTTGGTTCTGGCATCTGGTCTGCTCCCTTCAGCCAACGTGTTGCTCCTTTTTAAGTTCTGTTCTCCTTGTTCTAACTTCAACAACTCGGTTTCACCCTCTTCTGAAAAGTTTAGCAAGAACAGGAAACACTATTTATTTTCTCTCAGTCTTCTGAAAAACCAAAGAAAACTTTCATCCATATTTTAATGATACGTTTTATAATTACAACTACAAAAAGCACAATAAAACCACACTCCTTGTGGATAAAAGTGACATAAAACATTCTCCGTTGAGGCAATAAAACCGTTATCTTCTGGCTGTTTCAAGGAACAGTAGTTCTTCTAAATGAGACAAGAGGCACCTTGAATAAATAATTCATGTTTATCATCAGTGACCATGACAGGGAGATTCTGAAGGGCCTTCGATCAAAGATGGTATTAGATATTATCAGCAGAACCAAGGTGACGAAAATGAGTGCAAACCAGCAAAGGTCAGGCCTTCTGTTTCTTTAAATCTTTGTCTGCAGCTACTTTCCTTCAATCATCACCCCTTCAACACCTTGGACTACCCAGGTTCCTCCAGCCTGCAATGAATTTCAAAAAGGCTTTCAATCGTCCGGCCTGTCTCAATCTGCACCGGGGTCAGCTCTGTAAATCCCTACAGCTGACACCAAATCAATTACCGCACGGCTGGCGGGTAAGCAGAATGGGACGTCCACGGAGAACTACAGAAACTGGCCTAAATATGAAGCCGCCCCGGCAACTGCTCAGCAGAGTCCAATTTCATCAACTCTGGGCCAACTGTGCAGAACCAACACAGCAAAGACAAAACCCTGACTCGTCATACTGTGACCTTCCCCACCCTACAGCAGGCCGAAAAATACAATAAATCTGCTACAGTTTAATTAGATAAAATAAACTGATCGCTTTAAAATGTATGATTTTGATTATTGCTTATAAAGTTAATCAGAGAAACAACTGACAATTAGTTTTTAACTAAGCCTAAATCGATTTATTATTCGTCTAACGTAATAAAAATGGTATGTTCAGGTACAAAGAAAGCATTTCTAAGCTGTGAAAAATGGATACATCTATTAATATATAGCACACATGATGCAAACACTTTAAAACTCTAAATTACTTGTTTTGAACTCATTCAAGCCCTTCATTTAAAAAAAGTAAGTGCAAATTTAAATATAATTTACTTTGTTCTAGAAAAAAAATCCCATTGCCATTGTTTAAAATTAAAAGATCTCACAAGTATTGCCTAATTAAACAATAAAAAAATAAAAACAAATGATTGTTTCTGTTTAAATAAAATTTCACCACTGTTGCTTAGGCAGGGTTTATACAGTCACATACCAACACAATTAAGTTTCTTTATCAAAACCTTTAGTTGTTGCAAAGCCTGTTTTGACACTAAAACATTTCTAAAGCTCCTTTTTGTTTAAATCTGTCTCAATCTGGTTTTTAGCGTGTGTTTTAAATCTAACAAATGAGTTTGTGTGTTTAAATACATACAGCTATTTAAGTTCATTTAGTTCAGAAAATTGCTGTACGGTTAATTATTTTCATAATGGTTTAGTTTGTATTTTGGTTTGTTAACATGCTATTTATTATAACTTTTTATTTAAATATTTGCTACTTTCAGCTTATTGTCAACGTTTTCTTATGTATTCCATGCCTTAAATAAGTTATAATGTGAAACATAAATGCTAACTTTTCTGGAAAACGTTTAAAATAAAGTTTTTCAGTTAATGCGCATATTAATGAACTTTACAGAGAGGAAAAACTTGTTAGTATTGTATTTTGTGAGGAAAAATACAAACATTTAAGCCTTCACTTCTTAGTAAAGGTGTAAAATTTGACACGCACAGATGGAGAGTGAGAGTCAGATTAGGAGCATCCTGCAGATGATGAGGAGCAGACACAGTTTCAAGGGTCCATCCATTCCACTGACAGATGAGGTGATGTGGAGCTGAAAGGCAGCTCCTGATGGAAAATCAGCAAACAGGGAACTGAGGCCGCAGAGGAATTTGACAAGTTTAGGCTCTCTGTGCTGCAACTCCGCTCTGATGAACGAGAGGTGAAGGAAACATTTTAGCTGCTTGGAAACAACTTCTTATCTTTGCGACTGTGACAACACGACGTCTATGATTTCACCACTTCCGACGATTACTCTGTTGAATCTGACACACAAATTGTAAATATTTTCTCGTGGAGACACAGTTTGAACTGGTTTAAAGGTCTAAAAGCAATATAAAAATGACACTGCCTTACAATATATCAGGAGATAACCATAATAGCAATTTGTACTCGACATAACAGTAAACCAGGACATCCATTTTCCTGGAGATGCTACTTCGATGACTGATCGAGCTCCAAAACATGAAATAAATTAAAACAGGAAACATGATTTATCGCACAAGTCGAACAAAGGATTGCGTAGCAGAAGCACAAGAAAGTCCTTCTCTGTGGGACTCATCCAGGGAGGTAGAGAGCAGCTCTGGAAATATCAATACCCACGCTTCAGTCAAGGGGAACATGCTGATTCAACACTTCTCTATCTCCAGGAGTACATAGTTCAGAGATAAACTGCTTACTGTTGACGTGAAATGACAAATCCATACAGTGTTTAATAATAAAAGGAAGAATACAAAGAGGATGGGCTCAAATAACTACAGAAATACGTTCACTCAGACCAAAAGAAATAAAAGTTTAGCATCAGAAGAATAAAGCAGCTTAAATGTTGCTGTCTCTTTGTGCCCGCTGGCTAAATTACAGACGCTACGCATCTCTTTTCTCACTTCTTTGAGGTAGAAAAGATCATTTAAATCTCAGATTTATGCACTTAATTCCTAGGATGGGTGTATTTTGGCAGAAAAGGCAGTGATGCAATACCCCTGCACCTCGGAGGCAGGAGTCATTAACAAATGTAACAATGCCCTGGTGAACCCCAACACTTTGGCCTTTAACCGCAACAATTGAGCACATATTCGCTGTGACAGCAAACCTGGTTTGACACAGAAAAGAGGAATGACGCAGGTGAGTGTGTGCGGCCAAGAGTTGGTGGATAACATGTAATCAAAAGCCTTTCATCTAAACCCAGTCTGATATTATCCATCCCAAAGACTTAAGTTGTAGATTTAGTTTAATAGGACAGGACAGCTGACTTTATTACAACATCTGGAGACTTATCAATTTGTTCCATTATTCAAATGTTACATTAAAGGTCAGGAATGCATTTCGTCCAACGCCTTTCATGCCAGAGTTTTACACTAAGATTGTCATTTGTTGAAAAATGATGCATTTTAGCCAGTTTGGTCAAATCTTGATTAAAAAAAAAACTTTAAGCAGAATCTCATGCGTTATTTCCAGACCTTGCATGATTTGTTACGGCTTGGAGTATGTGTTGTGGATAACCGTCAGCAACTAATCACACCAAATTTTAGCTCAGTATCTGTAACTTTTACTAAATTTTAGCTCTATTTGTGTTGGCTAAAGTATTTAATCTGTAGCTGCCATCTTGATTTGCTTTGGCTCCAAAATTTAATCTGTTGTGAACAAACAAACAATAAGGACTTTATGAAAGTGTCATTAAAATCTATCTCGTGGTTAGATATTTTGCTAACAGACAACTCCCAACAGTTTTAGACGAAGGTGTCGTGCAAAGTATGTGTTGAGGATGATGCTCAGGTACTATTTTAGCTTAATTTCAGTACAACATGACTGATTTACAGCCATTTTTGTAAGGTTAGTTGGCTGTGGCGGCCATCTTGAATCAGGCTGGCTCCAAAAGGTGAACAGTTGTTGAAGCCGTTGATTACCTCCTGAACGTTTCTTTAAAATCTGTTCAGTGGCTCTTCAAATACTGTGCTAGAAGGTAATGTGCAAACATTAAAATGAATGTACACCCTGGAGAAACGTCCACAGACTAACTTGCAGTTGGCATATCTATCAAACAGTTCATTTAACGAAGCAGCCAAGCCTTTAATACTTCCTCTGCTGTGTCAGCCAGGTTTCCAAACTCTGAGCTTGATTTACACTTGAGCTCGACCAAGAAATGATGATTTTGCTCCTTCCATGGGCAGCTACCTTTAATTGTTTCTGCCCTAATATAACATTTTGTCCAATTTAAATCGCACCACGCTCATAAAAACACAACTGCACCAAAACAACAAATCTCTTAGAGAAAACATCTGGATTGTCAATAGTTTGGTTTAGCAAATTAATCATTATTTAGTAGCTGACTGAAACAATATGTCTTTGTATGGGAATGTTTATTTATCTGATATTTGTTTAAGGTTATTTAAAATAATTGCATCCAGGACATGCAGAGAATAATAAATCAAATATATAGCTATAATAATGAATAAAGATTTAATTTCTAGTATAAATAACCAAAATTGTACTTAATGCCTTTAGTAAAAGTTCAGATGGACGATTATAAACAAACGATATTTTAATGTGTTTACTGTTGAAACTCAATTTAAAACACGTTTCGAATAGTATTATTAAAATTAGTCTTGAAATATCAAAACTACTCATAAGGGACAATGTCAGCTGTTAAAAGCAGTGAGGAAATTGTTGTAAATCAGCCCAAAATTTGCCAACAAAACAACATTTGGATTAGCTGTGAAGCGTCAAAACAAAAGCATTCCCAGCAACAAAGAGCCAGCAGCTGGTGAATACAGTAAAACATCAGGAACACCGGCTAATGTTAGCTATTTCCACAGATTTACATTTTAACAAGCCCAATTTAGAGAACCCATAGGAACTTACCTTGGGCTTGTACAGCCACTTTCGGAAGCGGTTCATCGTTACTTGGCCACCTTCCTTTGTCACCAAGCCCTCTCAGCCCTCCTCTACCTGCCCGTGTGCCTGCAGTGACGGTCGGCTGCTAACCCAGCTAGCCTCGGCGGGCGGGCGGGCTCCGGAACACAGACACAATGTACGGCAAGTTGTCCTGAACGCTAGAGCACGGCTCCCAGCGGGAACAAAGGAGATATTCGGGAATTCATCTCCATGTTTCCAGAATCAGTTCAGCCTGTCTGTCCCACCCGTTCGGTCACTTTGTAACTCCTGCCGAAACACTGAAGCACCGCCCGACCCGACGGCTCGGCCGTTCTCTGCCAGTCCAGCGCTTCTTGATGACAGTCACGTTGACAACATTCACCTCCCACTTTCCCAGACGATGGTGCCTTCAAAGACCGCTCGTAACAAAACTACACATAGCAATTGTAACTCTGAGACCTTAGGGTGGTGATGCAATACATAAACCTTGGATAAAAAAAGTATTTGTCAAGAACCTCAGATCTCTTTAGGAACTGTAAGATGAGTTTACCGCATTATTACATTAGTGTTATGTGTTTTTCAGGCAGATACAAAGGTACCAGGTACTAATGACCTGTATATCAGGTAATACCAGTTATGTGCCAGGTAACAAGTACATAATAAGTACTAAATACAGCTTCTTATTATTTTGGCCGTTCCCTCTTCAAGGGCTACCACAGCGAATCATCTTCCTCCATTTCACTCTGTCCTCTGTCATCACTCGAACTCCCTCCATGTCCTCTCTAACTGTATCCATTTCCTCTTTGTTTTTTATTCCTGGCAGCTGCATCTCTAACATCCTTCTACCAAAATACCCACTGTCCCTCCTCTGGACATGTCCAAACCGTCTGGACTCTCTAACTTTATCTCCCAGTTGTTCAATCTGTGGTGTACCTCTGATGATCTCATTCCTAATCTTATCCATCCTTGTCACTCCTGGAGAACCTTAGCATCTTTGTTTCTGCCACTTCCAGTTCTTTCTCCTGTCTTTTTGTCAATGCCGCTGTCTCCACGCCATATAACATAGCTGGTCTCACCACTGTCTTGTAAACTTTTCCTTTGGTTTTTGTTGACACCCTTTTGTCACAAATCACTCCTGAAACTTTTCTCCATCCACTCCATCGTGCCTGGACTCTCTTTTTCACCTCTTTACCACATTCCCCATTTTCCTGGACAGTGGACTCCAAGTACTTGAAGTCCTGTACCTTTGTGACCTCTGCTCCTAGTAGCCTCACTGTTCCACCAGCCTCCCTCTCATTTGCACACATGTACTCTGTCTTACTACGGCTGACTTTCATTCCTCTTCTTTCAAGTGAATACTTCCACCTCTCTAAGTTCTCTTCCACCTGTTCCCTGTTCTCACCACAGATCATGTCATCTACAAACATCATCGTCCATGGGGATTCCTGCCTGACCTCATCTGTTAGTCGGTCGGTCCATCACCAGAGCAAACAAGAAGGGGCTCAGAGCCGATCCTTGATGCAATCCCACCTCCACCTTGGAGCTATCTGTCACTCCTACAGCACATCACACCACTGTCCTGCTGTCCTCATACATGTCCTGTACCAGTCTAACAAACTTCTCTGCCACTCCAGATTTCCTCATGCAACACCACACCTCCTCCGTCGGCACCCTGTCATATACTTTTTCTAAATCCACAAAGACACAATGGAGTTCTTTCTGACCCTCTCTGTACTTCTCCATCAACATCCTTAAAGCAAAGATGGCATCTGTGGTGCTCCTTTTTGGCATGAAGCCATCCTGCTGCTCACAACAGTCACCTCTCGTCTAAGAGCTTCACTGTGTGACTCATTAGCTTAATTCCTCTGTAGTTGCTACAACTCTGTACATCACCCTTGTTCTTAAAAATGGACATCAGCACACTTCTCCATTCCTCAGGCATTTTCTCACCCTCAAATATGCCATTGAATATTTGGGGCAAAAACCTTACTGCCATCTCTCCAAGACATTTCAAAACCTCCACTGGTATCTCATCAGGTTCCCCTTCTTTATTCTTTTCAGAGCTTTCTGATCTTCACCCTCACTAATCTTTCCCACTTTGTGGGCGACAGTTTCTGTGACCTACAGTATACTCTTCTTTCTCTTTCATTCTCTTCATTTATTAGCTCCTCAAAGTACTCCTTCCATCTTCCCGTCATATACTCTTCACTTGTCAGAACATTACCATTCCTATTTTTAACAGGCCTAACCTGCTGTACAGGTACTGGTACATCTAAAGCCTGATCCTTCTGTCTTGCCAATCGATATAAGTTCTTCTTGCCTTCTTTAGTGTCCAGCCTCTCATAAACTTATCATACGCCACAAGAGTTACACTGACCTGTGCTCCCTATAGTGGCTGGTCTGTAAGTACTAAGTGGATATGTTTATATTTTTGTTTATTTTTATGGTCTTTTGCAGTACTGTCGTTTTACTTTTTTTTCGTGTGTGTGTGTACAGTACTTTGGCCAACAACAGTTGTTTTTAAATGTGCTATTCAAATAAATTTGATTTGATATCATGCCAGTTAAGTATCAGGTATAGCACCTAATCTAAGTACCAGCCAGGTATCATCTATCGCTACCTTTTCAAAGGTTTACTATATGCTCTCAGGAGTAAAGCACAATTGTCAATAAAGAGTATGTCTTCACACCTTATGGTATAAGATTTTTTTTAAATAAAATTACAGGAAATTTTCTTTCATTATAAAGCGTGGTTCATTGCTAAGGTTTGGTTGGTAGAATTCAGTATAAATATTAAACAAAAAATAGTAATGGAAAACAAATTTCAGTATCAGTTTAACAAAACAAAACCGGTTTAATAATCAGCTTTTCTTCACGCATATTAAAGTGTGAAGCAAGTCTCATTCCAACAGTTAGAAACACAAACTAAACCTGGTTGTCAGTGTTCACTTTATTTCATCCGTTCCTGTGGTATTTATCACATGGATGTGATAAACATCTTGTGTGGCTGTAATATTTCCAACGATACGTGAAGGCAACAATCCGAGGTCTCATCGACGTCACATCACGCTACGTCATTAATGTTTTTGTTATGGCAGCGAACAAAGAACCAGGATGCCACGGTGGTAATCTGTGAGGATTAAAACTAAAAATGGGTCCAACACTTTTCATTAACTCAAATAAAGACGATATTCCTGTTTATGGATCAAGTAAGAAGAGCAGGGAGACACTTCCGTTTCCGTTTGTTTAGCGTTGCTAGGCAACAGCTCACCAGTCAAAGGTCGGAGAAGCACAAAAACTGCTCCTTCACTTCATCTTTGTGGAAACATTTTTGTCTTCACCTCCTCCATTGGACATTATTTTAAGACAACACTCAATTTCAAAAGTAGCTACATTTTTGTGTGAGCTTTAAGGTGACAGACTGCTCCTCGGCTGCATTTTTAGTTGTTAGCTGACTTAAAATGGCACAGAGCTATGGCTCCTTAATTGAGGAGGCCTGTGAGCTGCTGGATAAGTTCAGAGCTGACAGGCGATATCCAGATGTCTTACAGGATCCACGGGTACGTAAACAAGCATTATGTTCATGTGATTGTTGAAACTTGTCCTGATATTTTTATATATTGCAGAACGTAGATGAGCCGCTGAGGAAACTCTTTCTTGATGTTGTTTCTGGATGTATTGAGCATAAAACGATGCTGGATGTTGTTATTAACGCGTTTTACAAGCAGAATAGGAAATGGCTGTCTAAAAGTGACCACAGCCAGTTTGTTAGTAAGCGAATTTTCCAATTTTTAACCTCCTGAATGTTGTTTTGATTACAAATTAATAATTAATAATAAGTTAGTAACTCTGACATGTTCATGAAACTTTGCTGCTCCTCAGTCGTCTGTTACTTCCTCACATTTGCTCTTGATGAACTTGGACTTCAGCAGTTTGGCAGCATTGTTGAATGTCTTGGCGTTCAAAAGATGCACTCAGTGAGTTTCTGAACACTTCGGTGAAAAGAAACAAAGATTTACCTGTTTTACTTTGTCTAACAATGTGTTTTATTTGGCCAGTTCTTGATTTTTTTCTTCTCAAACCTCACCTCGTGGATACAAGAGGAGTGGAGCAGCTTCTATGATGCTGATTTTGTGGATAAGCAATTAATTGCTCCGCTACTCGGGTAATAAAATACAAATAAACAAATAAAACCCTGGATAGCTTTTAACCATTTCAAAGTGAAAGAATAAAAGTTTGTGTCTGTGTTTCCTTTAGATGGCGCCCTGAGATCAATATTCTCATAGATCAGCTTTCTGCCAAAAAATCTCATAGGAGTCAGATCAACAAAGCAAAACTTAAAACCACCCAGCACCAGGAGTTCACTCTCACCAAACCTAAGCCTCGGCCTCTGCCTCCACCAGAACCGACCCCTCAGCAAGAAAAACACAAACCAGTTAGAGATTCATCCATTTTCTCAGACATCTATTTCTGTTCTGTCTTATCTTTTCCCTTAAAGACGTGTTTAATTTTACTGTGAACATATTAGTGCTTTGCTGTTATTTTTATGCACAGGTACCAAAAAGCACCTACACAGCCCCAAAGGAGGTGCAGATAATAGAAGAGATTAAAGAGAAGAATCGTCAAAAGGCTGAAGTATGTTTGTTTTTGCCCTCATCTTCTGGGAAAGTTTTTATCACCTAAAGAAAAACATAAAGGAAGGTCGAAAAACAGCAAAATAGTAGCTATAAACTATGAATTACAAACAGTAACAAAGCTAAATTAAAAAAAATGTATCTTTACTGTACAGTGGCTGAAAATTTAAATCCAGCATAACAGTAGCTAAAAGCTAAAACCAGGAAAAACAGTATAGCATTATGCTATATTAGCAAAACAGTATCTAAAATGTAAAACTAACAAAACAGCTAAAAGTTGTAACCAGCTAAAGGCTTGCTGAAACCAGTAAAACTGTATATTCAAGCTCAAATTGACAAAAGAGTGCCTGAAATCTCAAATCTAGCAAAACGATAGCTAAAAACTAAAACTAGCTAAATATTAGCTAAAACCAGAAAAACAGTATATCATTAGGCTAAATTAACAAAACAGTAGCTAAGTTAAAACCACCAAAACAGCTAAAAGCTATAAGCAGCTAAGTGTTTGCAAAAACCAGTAAAACTGTAGATTTCAGCTAAAATGAGCAAAACAGTAGTTAAAATTTAAAATTATCAACATAGTAGCCAAAAGCAAAGCATTAAACGAGTATACTAAGGAAAATGTCAAGTAGCTCATAATTTTTCAAGGATTTTAAAGATCTAAATGTATCTTTATGAGGAAAATGTAAATTAATTTAAATAATTTGTTATTGTTTTGAACTTAAAAAATTTTAAAATCATCGTCGTAATGTCCTAAATGAGCTTAACTTTTTGTTGCTTGAATGGCTGGAAGCAGGTTGAAAACATTATTCCCAAAAATAAATAAATAAATATATATATATATATAAAACACACACACACATACATATCTGTATATATATATATATACACAGAAGAAACTTTAAATCATCTGTGTGAATTGTGACATTTACATGATAAAAGAAAGTGCAACATGAAATGTTTTGTTAATATTTTATTCAATTTTACAGCGTCATATTAAAATTAAAATCTTGTTCCCCACAGCACAAATGCTGCTGCAGAACCAGATTAAAACCCATCCTCCAGATGTATAGCACTGAGTAAATGGTCTTGAGTCATCTAGTCAGTATCATGTTTGTTGAGAGCAATCTCAGGGTGCAGACAAATACAAGGAGCATGGAGGTAGAATTGCAAAGTCGTATTTAAATAAACATAACGTTGACGTGGCAGCAAAACACAAGCAAAAACTTGAGAGGGAACAAACATAACGGCTTGACAGCACAATAAACGGACAACAAATGAGAAAAAAGGCACAAGCTTTAAGGGAAACTAATGAGGGAGAAATGACAACGCTTGGGGAAAGACGATAAGGATCAGATGAGCTGAATGAAGGGAAAAACATTGGGGAAGATTAAAAACAAGTTAAACAAAACACCAGAATCACAGAAGTACTCAAATAGACATGGCTCTTGACAGTCAGTGTGATGTTTGAATGTGTTTTCATCAAAGGATCGACATTATGAGGCACAAAGGAAACAGTTCAGATGTGGGAATCCAGAGAAGTCTGAACACACAAAGGTAGGACAATTTTCCTGCTCTTTCTTAAAAATCTGTCTTTATTCACATTTTGGGTTTTACAAACAGAACGGACTATTATTTTACCAAGCATATAATTGATTTATATACTGTTGAATACATCTTATTCAACATAACAATAGTCACTTATGTAAAGTAACAGTACAACATGATCAATTTCTACTCAACCATCATTTGTTTTGCAGAAAGTGATAGCTCAGATTGAGCAAGACTTGGACTCCAAACTCAAGTTTAACTCTTTTCATTCAACTAAACTTCCTCCCAGTATTAAGGTAAGGTTTTATTATTACACCAGCTTCAATTAATTGTTTTTCTGAGGATAATTTACATTGTGCATGATAGTTCTTTTAATATTACAGGACAACAGCTGTTCTGTACAGCTAAATAATGCAGCCATTTTGAGGAGGGAGGCACTAACCGAACATCAGATGGAAGAAGAGCTGCAGAGGTAGCAAAAGGCATCCATGCCGGCCATTTTTATATATATTACAGGGTAATAATCAGCTAAATGTTATGAGAATTAATAAGGGAAAAAAATCATTAAGTTGTTCTTCCTTTTTGCAATGCAGCTTTTGTCAAGTTGCAGTGTGGAGCAATTTGTTGTTATGGGCGGGTGCTGGTAAACCGCAGGCAGGCAGTTGAGGACTCAGGAGAATATATAATAAAGAATCTATTTACAGAAAAACAAAAGCTGTCAGTGCAGCAAAACTTACACGAGTAACAAGGAGTTCACAAGGAGCAGACCAGGGCATCACCAGTGGATAGAAAACAATGCCAGGACAAGGAGTGAGACAAACACACAGGTTTAAATACATCCATCCATCCATCCATCCATTATCTTTTACCCACTTCTTCCATTTTGGGTCACAGGGGTCGCTGGTGCCCATGTCTGGCAATCACTGTGCGAGGGGCAGGGGTACACCCTGGACAGGTTGCAAGTCCATCACAGGGCCACATATAGACAAACGAGACAAACAACCATCAAACAACCATTCACTCTCTCACTCACACCTAGGGACAATTTAGAGTTACCAATCAGCCTAACATGCATGTTTTTGGTCTGTGGGAGGAAACCGGAGTACCAGGAGAAAACCCACGCAGGCACGAAGAGAAGATACAAACTCCACCCAGAAAGGCCCCTGGATTGGGATTTGAACCAGGGTCCTGCTTGCTGAGAGGCAGCAGCTCTACCAGTTACGCCACCATGCTGCCTTGGCTTAAATACAGGAAACACCAATTAGACAATGTGAAGTCACCTGTGAGTAATCACAGATGCCAAAGACAGAGACTGAGGATGCAAGACATGAACATGACACAAGATGGAGCCAGATACTAAGGAAACACAAACCCTATAAGGATAAAAACAGAGGATTAGGGAAATGCAGACATAAACACAACACCAGACGGGGCTAGACACCAAGGAACATAAATCACAACCTCTAAACAATTAACCTTAAAGAAGGTGGCAATACTACATAAAATGTAGTTAAAGGCAAATTATATATATATATATATTTTTTTTTCATTTACCTTTTATTTATACAGGTAGTCTCATAGAGCCACGAGAACTCATTTTCAAGAGAGACCTGTTTAAGGAGCAGATGGTGGGGGTTAAGGGCCTTGCTCAGGTGCCCAGATTGGGGCAAATGAGGGTGGAGGGAGGTGTCGGTATTAAACTCTGTATATAATTAATACCAAAGAGTTATTTTTAAATTGTGTGCAAAACAATACAAAACAAAATAAAGCAGCTAATGTATATCTTGTGCTGGGAGTGGTTGTTGGTTTAGAAATTAAATAATTCTCTGTATTTTTGCTAAAAGATTTATGCTGCTCGGCAGAAGTTTAATTTCTTATTAAGTCAAATATTTTCCAGGAATTAAGTTTGAACTGCACTTCAGGCAGATCAGTTCAGTGTATATAGCTGAATATATAATTGCCTCTCATTGTTTAAATCCTGTAATATTTTGGAAAAAGGAAACATTTATTTGCATTCCC